GAACCCTTAGGGGAAGACACAATAGAAAATAGAACACCACATTTTTTATTCCTAACATAACATTTGGTCGAAGTTTCAAGAAAGACCAAACTTATAGAAAAATACTTACTTAAAAAAGCAAAGTTTAAAAATGTCTCAGCCTTTATAGATTTCACAAGTCCTATTCCCCCATGCTCCCATAATAGGTGGCTTATGTCTCCATTTAACCTCCGTTCACTCTGAGTTTTTAATCACTAAACTATAAGATGCTTTAAAAGAGGCATGATCTTGATTATATACTGGTCATATGCCCACAAAATAATCTAAGTTGCTGAATGTAGAGAAACTATACTTTACAGATATGGTGGGGTAAAAAGAGATTTGGTGCTCTGGGCTATTTACACTGAATAAATCAACCTTTTGAAGTGCTTGGTAACCAGGTTTACTCATCTTCACAAAAACGTCCTATCAAAGCAATTTAAATTATATTTATATAATAGTAAAGACTTTCCAATAATAAAGATTTCTCCAAAATCAGGTTTTAGAGTTTCACCCTTACATTCACAGTATGAACTCAAGGGGGAAAATTGCTAAGGCTCATTACTCTTACCCTAGATGAGTACCAAAACATACCCCATCAGTTCCAGATCTTTATCCTATTGTCGGTCCATGCTTTATAGCCCTTTTTGCATAGGCTTTCCAAACAGCTGCAGTATAAAAACAGGGAAAGAAAAAGCTCAGATATTTTAGTCTCTTCTTTCCACATATTCCCTTACAAGATAGATGATGTCTTACAATTGCAGCTCCTGACAAAATATACCTGTGCTCTCCAGGCAAATAATCAACTATGTTTGCGGTACTATATTGAGAACTGTGGTGGCCATGGTCCATCATGAGGGAACAATGTTGACAACTATACTAAAGACAGTGGTTCTCAAACTTATAGTGGATATCAAAATCACTTGGAGGGCTTGTTAAAACACAAACTGTAGGCATCTCACCCCTGAGTTTTGGATTCAGTAGGTCTGTGGTGAGGCCCAAGAATTCACTTTTCCTCATGTTCCCAAGTGATGCAGATGCTGCTGGTCTGGGGACCATACTTTGAGAACCAGCCCTGGTTGGTGTGCCTCAGTGGTTTGAGTGCTGGCCTGTGAACCAAAGGGTTACCAATTTGATTCCCAGTCAGGGTACATGCCTGGGTTGTGGGTTAGGTCCCCAGTAGAGGGCGCTTGAGAGGCAACCACACATTAATGTTTCCCTCTCTTTCTTCCTCCCTTTCCCTCTCTCTAAAAATAAATAAATAAAATCTTTAAGAAAAAAAAAAGAGAGAACCACTAGTATGACACACAGTTTAAGTGCTGGGAGGGAAGGAAGACAGAAGGAGGTGATAAGAAAACATAAAACTAGTCCCTCACACAATTTTTAGTAGGTAAGATTTCTTTAGCAAAATTCTGCCAGTCTACCACCTTTTCAACAACTTAACTTTACAGCAGTTTCCATTTCCTTATCTATCTGTTCATTAAGCATTGTCAACATGATAACAACAATGGTTTACAAACTTTGACTTACAATTTATATCTTAGATGCCAACACCAGAAATGCTGTGAGGGGCTATTTGTTACTGAGCCCTCAGGAAAGGAACTACCTAGAAGGCAAGGAAAAACATATAGAACTGATTTCTCAAATACCTTGGTAACTATTATAAGCAATGTGGATTACACAGATATATAACATTTACATATTAGGACACAGAATGAATTTAAACTACAGGAAAAAAATCACTACCAGTTTTTCCATTCATCTTATATCTTCCTGTACTTCTAGAGCTGGATGTTGGCCATTCTTGACAAACTTCTATTAACAACTCTTTTATAAATATAAATTTATTTCCATTGGGAATATAATGGAAGTATCATAGAGGAAGTACCATAGAGGAAGTACCTCTCCCTGCTACTTTGCCTAAAAAATTATAACCAGCCCCAATTTTTCACCCTCCTCTAAAGCAATACTTCCCAATATATTCTCATCAACAACAGCATCTATTTTGTCTCCCTATAGATCTCACATTTTGAAATATTTTATAACTTCAGTTATTGAATAATTTTTCTATTTTTATTATACTCTTTTTTATTTTTTTAAAGATTTTTATTTATCTTTAGAGAGGAAGGGAAGGAGAGAGGAGGAGAAACATCAATGTATGGTTGCCTTTTGTGCATCCCCTGCTGGGAACTGGCCTGCAGGGAACCGGCCTGCAACCCAGGCATGTGCCCTGACTGGGTGAGAATTGAACCGCGATTATCTGGTTCACAGTCCCTCGCTCAATCCACTGAGCTACACCAGCCAGGACCTATTTTAATTATACTCTTAACTACCAATCAGAAACCATAACTAGATGAGAGAGCCAGGACTTGGCTGACAATATTCAAACCAGAAAAAAAGAAATTTAATATTTCACTCTTCTGATGGGTTAAAGTTCAAGTTTTAGTGGGCTTTCTGAAAGACTGAAAGACTTTAAAATATCTCAAGGAAATTGTTTCAATTCTAAGCTGAGAAAACTGATTTTCTAACAACAATGTTTTTTCAATCACTATAGTAGAGATTGTCATTTTACTCATTAGTCCAGAGTCTTTATTTTTAACTATTAATTATTAATTTCAAAATATAATGTTAAAATTATTACCAGACAGAACCACCACAGATGAGATTCAGTTTAAGGGTATTAATCCCAGCTAGTTCCTAGAATGACCCTGTGTAAATGCCTTGGTCTCTCATTGCTCTTTCCTTTTCAAATATACTCAAATATACTTCAGACTTAAAAAAAAAAAAAGTCTGAAAGAAAGCTCAGCAGGGATCTCAGATAAAGTAGGAACTTCCTTTGTTGGAAGAAATAAAGCATTTTAGAACACAAAGAATAAACGTGTGGTGCATTTTTATTTTAAAATGCCCACTGAAAGACAGTTTGAGTTTTTTGTTTATTTTTATTTTTTGAAAGTCAGTGGGCTTCTTTACTGTTGCTATATGGAACAGCTTTATCAGTTGAGGATCCTCTCACCCTGACAAGGCATTACTGAATACAGTTGAGTCTGACTTTAGATTCTGATTTGGTACCCACTCCCCATCCTCTCAAGCCCTTGGCTCTTTCTTCCTCAGAAATTTCTATCTGCAGGCGTCTGAATGAAAAGTATTTATAGGTCACAGTAACAGTGTCAACATTTTCAACAGAGTACTGCAATTTAAAAGCCTAAAACAAAAATCACATTTTGCTTCAAATCACACTGGCCCCACCAATCTGCATGAATGATGTGCTAAATTCAGAGGTTTAGGATTTCATAAAGATTACTTTAGGATATTCCTAACACTCTAAAACTGATTTGCCAAAAAGCTGCTTTTTCTAAAATGCTTTGTGCTAAGCCTGAATTGAAGCTTTTATTCTTAGCAATTATCTTTCAAGAAGCACTTTAACAGCTTGCTTCTTCTTCACAGAAATCATCTTGGGCACCCAGGTGAAAGAACAGCTTTTGTAAATGCAAAGTAGCGCCTAGGTCAGTGGCCCTCAGCTCTTACTGCACATTAGAATCATCTGGGTAGCTTTTTAAAAATAGCTATGCTCATCCCTTTCTGATTAATTGGTATGTGATGGGAAATTGGCATAGTATGTCTTTAAAGCACTCCAGTTGATTCTAATGCACAGGCAAGAACCATCAGTCTAACAAGAAAGGCTTAAGCCCAGCTTCCATTAACACATTTCTTTTTAAGAACTTAGTATGAATCAAAAGCTGTGGAGCACACTCTGTTCAATCCAAGGGCTGATTAAAAAATTGTTTACAGATTACTAATGTAAAAATTAAATGTCTCCTATCCGCCCCCCATGATCCTTTTCACTAAAGCCCCATTCAGTTACTGCTTTCAAGATAGATTCTCCAAAGTACGTCTAGGTTCTATAAGCCAAGGAAAAGTTCCAAAATCCAGTATTTCAGCACCCAGACTGACCTCACAGACTGAGTAATCACCTATACCTCGGACAGTACAAAAATGTTTGTCATATAACATTTCTTCTACTTGGCTTTGAAAAATAACATCACCAGATCTGTAGTGTCAACACCATCCTACCATTTTCTTTCTGTCTAATCTTCAAAGGTCACAAGTCGCTTTTCTCCCTAAAGCCTTCCCGGGTCACTTTGGGCCCCACTGATTTCTTTCTAACATGAATTTATAGTCTAGACCACTTCTTTGGCATTTCTTCCATTTCCAGTTAACCTTCCATCCACGTGGGGCCTGTTTGCCTAACCACCTTAGGCATAACAACCACTTAGGCATACACAATTTTTTATCAGTTCCCATAACAAAGTCTCACAAGAATAAATGCTTAGGTTTTCAGTATCGAGTAATAACTTTCTGACCCTCTTTATCTCTCCAACTTTTTCCATTGAGCTCTCTCCTCAACTCTATAACTCCCTTTAATTCAACTACGGCATCCGTCCTACCAAGCATTCTCAAGCGCTATTAATGGCTTTCGAAATTTTGAGATTCTACATGTGCTCAATATAACCAACTAGAAGCCTGCCCTTGATGATTGTTGTTTTGCTTGCTTTGGCTGGTCTGCCTGCTTATCCCCTTTACAATTTTCCTCTAAAAACTCAATTATCTCACAATCTGCGCAATTTCCACCAACAAGGTTTCTTTCCAACCTGCCCCATTCCCTCCTGGAGTGCCCGTTTCTAAACCCCTCAGGCTCTTTTCTAAAATGGCCGCCACAAAGCACAGAAAAGGCCCTGCGAGTTCCACCCACGCAAGGCCTCAGTCATTCTTGGAGCCAGAGGAGGATGGGCTAAAAACGAATGGGTCTGAAGGGAGGGGAGTGGCCTGAAGAATCTAAAGGGCGGAGAAGCCAGGCCCCTGGAGGCCCAAGCCCTCACCCCCAGCCTATGCCAGAGCCCCGACCTCCATCACAGGAAGTGGGGGCTTCCGCCGCCTAACGTCAGGAGCCAGGAGCCGGAAGTGAGCGTTGCTAGGGCGCGGACGTAGGCTGGAGGCGCCGCAGTGGAGAGCGCGTTTTGACTCACAAAGGAAAGACTCCGTGGTTCTGGCTTGCGGCATCCAAACAACCCACCTTTAGGGTGCTGGGGCACCTTCACCAACTATTATCCTCCCTTTCAAGCCCACAGCCTTCTGCCAGGTGGGTTCTCACTGCGCTGTTTCGGCTACTGACGGTTCCACAGCTTCGTCCCCTCGAGGGCCTTCCCAGACCCTTTGCCTGCAAGCTAATCACCTTCCACCTCTTCTCCTGTTTAGTTCCACAGCTTAAATCTACTCTGAAAGTTCTTTTTAAAGAAAGAAAAACTATTTCACTGAGCCCTCAGCTCTTAACCAGTTGCTTCAGACTACATTCAGCTCCCAAATTAAACTGGTTTGTGTAATTTGTCCGGTTCACCACGTCTAGTACTAGGGAAAAGATAAAGATCACCTGTTAACAGTTTGATGTGGAAAAGACTTAAAGGGACAACGCTGAGTGATGAGGCTATGGATTCCAATGCCTTTTATCTATTCCGCTTTTATTGCCCCCAAAGGACAGGGTGGCATCCTACAAGTTGCTGAATCTTAGTGTTGATCATAGCTTTAAATGCCTTAAAATCAAGGAACATTATATTTGATTATTCCTTCCAAACCTCTTTTATTTGTATTGAAAAAGTATAAAGTGACTATGTAAGTAAAAATCAGGCGAAAGGAAGGTCAGATTTCTTAGTCTAGATATTAAAAAAATTATGATGATTTTCCATAATTTTCATCATTGGTTTCAATAATGATTGTAATTAACGAATAGGTTCAGCAGCAAATTACTAAACTAGGGTTCCAGCTAGTCACTTGTAGTTTCTATCATGGATTCCAAGGTTGCTTATGTCATAGAATGGGGGGAAGGGATGTGGAATTGTATGAGAGGCCAAAGGAGAGCTTGCTCTAGAGAGAGACCACAATTGTAAATCTAGTCAATTTTCAGAAGTTTCTTATGGGGATGGTTTTATATAAATTTAGTTTTTGTCCCATAATGATAAGTTTATCTAATCACAGTACTCAGTAGGGGGAAATCTCTGATAGAAGAAAATTCAAACTACAAAGCCATTTCTTGTCTTTTAATCTTCCACATATTTGTTACAGAACTGTTCTTTTATGATTCTGTTATCCATAAAATGGGCATTTCATAAGTCCTAAAGTTCAGAAGTTTTTCCTGGATGCCTAGAGGGAATGTGTATTAACTAGAGAGATTAAATAACCAAGTCTGTCCATTTTAGCATAGGAGATTGGGGGCAGGGCAGAGAGGAGGTGAGGGATCATTGGAAGAAGAATGTGTCTGGGCATATTGGATGGATTAAGTCTCACATAGGCTTCCAGCATTCCTGGGTGCCCATGGGGAGAAAGACTGGCAGCCTTTCCATCCTGTATAACTTGAGAAGAGAGCTTTAAAAATATGCCCTATTTCTTTGTTTTCCCTGAAGTTTCGTGTCTTCATTTACCCTCTCTAATGTTAAGTAGCATCAAACCCTAATAGATGCCAAACAGTGACTAGCCATTGTAATAGCACTAAAAGTAAACTGACATCTCCTCAATACAGTTTAGTAGTTGTATGTGGTTTTCTTAACTATTTAGGAGCCCTAGAATTTATTCTAAGAGTGTGAATTCTAAGAGAGGGAAAAAATATTTGAGGGAGGAGGTCACTAAGGGTTTCTTCTTTTCCAATTTCTTTTTATTGTATTTTTTCTCATTACCATTTATCCCCCTTATATCCCCTTTCCCCCCTACAATCTCCACACTATTGTCTGTGTCCTCTTTACTAGAGGTTTCTTATATTGAACTTGGGTAGCTTCAATTCCAGTTTGACTCTACCTCTTAGGGCCACCTTTAAGTACATTTCATTTCTGATTCCTTGAACCACTGTTTTCCCCCCCACAGCACTTGGATTCAGCTCCTTCATTACCAACATGGAAGAAACTTACAGTATGTACTTCTGTTTGCTTTTAGAATATAAGTTAACTTATGTACAGTTTTATGTCTGACAGGACTTTTAATGTGTGGCAAAGATTCACATTTCTCCTGAAATGCTGAGAAGAGTAGTACTTCTATATTACTCTAGAAGTAATGTAGAGTACTTCACTGTATTACTTTCTTTGCGATAGTAATATAGAGAAGTACCCAAATTTGAAATAAGATACTTGAAATTTAAATAGCTAAAGAGGAATAAGAAGTCATCACATTTTGAAAAGGCTGCATTGGGCCACCTATGTCAAAATAGATTTTTATTAAATGAAGCATTTTAATTCCTCAGTACTTCTTTTTCTCCTGTTAATAACACAGGTATAGTAACCTGTTTTCTTTCTATTTGGAGGGATAATATAGTATACATAATATTGTTGATATAGATTGATATTGTTGATATAGATTTTAGGATTAAAGAAATCCTAGGGAAGATTCTTATTTCTCAAGTGATCCAAGAACCTTAGATGGCCTAAGAAATCAAAAAAGAGCCAGCACTAGAATCACACAAATGTAGAACCAAAAGAGACCTGGAAAATCACTTCATTTAACATTCATATTTTACACTGAGAAAACAAAACCTCAATTAATTGATTTGCCTAGAGTTACATAGTTAGTTAATGACATAGGGAGAACCAGTGTCTTACACATTGTACTTATGGGCTGTACCTCTTAGATAATGATATTTTTGTCAGGTCTAGTTCCTTACTTTCACCAGGTTTCCTCCATTTCTCACCATGGGTTCTCAGTCCCACCCAAGTGTGAGGAACATCTGTATCTACTCTTTGGGAGGAAGCTTATCCTCAGGGCCTATTTTGTTTTCCAAATTACGTTATATTTCTAAAGCCAGACAACATTATTGCCAAGCAGTTTGATAGTATTTATTTTAACTTTAAATGTACATATACTTCAATGTAGCACTCTTAGGTATTTGCTTAAAGCAAATAATCATACAATGCACAAAGAAGTATATACTAGATGGTTAGTCACAGCATTGTGTGTAATAGTAAATAACTGGAAACAACCTAAATGTTCATTAGTAAGGGAAATGATTAAGAATCTATGGTACATCCACTTGCAACAATGAAATATTCCTTATATGTACTGACATAGAAGGAGCACCAAGACATTTTTTAAAAACAAATAGCAAAAGTAGGTACAGGAAATCCCTCACATGCTACAATATGAAGAAAACTTGAGAACGTTGTACTAAGGGAAATAAGTCAGTCACAAGAAGACAAATACTGTATGAGTTCATTGTGTGATGAAGTGCCTAGACTGGTCAAACTCAGAAACAGAACAGTGGTTGCCATGGTTGGATCAAGGAGGGAATGGGGAGTTGGTTAATAGATACACAGTTACAGTTTTGCAAGATTTACAAGTCATTGATAAAGTCATTGATAGATGACTTTTTCATCTGACTGCTTTAACTTATTACAAGTATTTCCTGATCTTGGTTACTCTACCTCTCAAGTGAAACCAATGCCTTTATCAGATAGGTGGGTTTTTTAAAAAAAGATTTTATTTATTCATCTTTGAGAGAGGGAAAGGAGGGGAGAATGAGAGGGCAAGAAACATCAATGTGAGAGAGAAACATTGATTGGTTGCCTCTCACATGCTCCTCTTGCAGGGATGGAACATGCAACCTAGGCATGTGCCTTGAGCAGAAATTGAACTTGCAACCTTTCACTTTGGGGACAATACCCAGCCAATTGAGCTGCACTGGCCTGAGCAGTAGGTCTGAAAAAATTCTGGAGGTTGGTTGTGTGAGAACTGTACACGTAAAAATGGTTAAGGTGGTAAATTTTATGTTGTACATATTTATTACAATTAAAATTTTTTTAACTTTTAATGTTTTAATCTTAAAAAAAAAAAACAGGTTAGAACTGACCTAAATTACTAGAGCTCAGAATGTAAAGCATTATGGTAGGAAACTATTGTTATTAACTCTGATGTGTGTCCAGACAGTACAGGGTATATGAATCATAAGGTACGTCCATCTACTCCATCAGATCCTGACATGGCCTCACATTTGCATGTGATGGAATGGATTAAATGAAAGGAAATAATAAGAATTTCATCTGTAAACTCTCTCTGGGTGTCCTGAAGCTTCAGAAATGGGAAAAGACTACTGGTCAGGATGTGCCTGGTTGGCATAATAAACCTGCCTGTCCTCTTAAGATTTTTTTCTTCTTATTCATTCTGTCCTTCAGGTCACCTTTCGGGTTCATTTGCATCACGATCATGGTTAGCAATTTATTCCATGTTTACCACTTTTCCAGTGAAACTGTTTCAATTCCCCAGCGGCCTCTGATTTTCATAGTAGCCTCCTGGTTTATAAGCTTCCTATCAAATGTGAATTGTTTATCTTATATCTGCAGTTGTCTTAACCCCAGGAGGTTCTGTGTTTGCAGATTATTCTATTTTTTATTTTGGAAATTTGATAATCACTAAATTTTAAAATTCTGGGTTTTTTTCCTCATTTATGTCAAAATATGAAAAGTAAAACCACCTATTGCTCAGACCAGTGCAGCTCAATTGGCTGGGCATTGTCCCCAAAGTGAAAGGTTGCAAGTTCAATTTCTGCTCAAGGCACATGCCTAGGTTGCATGTTCCATCCCTGCAAGAGGAGCATGTGAGAGGCAACCAATCAATGTTTCTCTCTCACATTGATGTTTCTTGCCCTCTCATTCTCCCCTCCTTTTCCTCTCTCAAAGATGAATAAATAAAATCTTTTTTTAAAAAACCCACCTATCTGATAAAGGCATTGGTTTCACTTGAGAGGTAGAGTAACCAAGATCAGGAAATACTTGTAATAAGTTAAAGCAGTCAAATGAAAAAGTAATCCATCAATGAATTTTTCTCAATCTTCCATAGACCATATCACTGATACAAAGCAGTGCTTACCAACTTTTTTCATGTCACAGCATATTAGCAAATAGCCAAGGATGCTGGTGAAGTGGATTAACTACCCTTAACTTACCCTAGGACTGGTAGCGGATGGGGGTACATGTGTAGTGGACCACTGCATCTATAAATTGGCACACCATTTATTCCAACCTTCAGCATACTGGTTGGGAAGCTGTGGCTGGGCTAACTAGAGTGGAAATGACCCTGAAGGAAAATAGAGTATCACTTCATTTAACTTTTTGTTTCATAGTGAGGGTAACCAACAGTGAAAACAGCAATATTTAAGTTAAACCAAATATGAACTAAGACCTCATCCCATGATTGCTTGCTTTGTCTGACTTAATTAAGATTTGGTAATAACACAATTTTATCTTCTCGGGGTTACGTTTTCATTGTTAAATGTTTAGTCACCCTTTTTTTAAAATTCCAAATTGTTGTCAGAATGTCTTACCCTGTTGTTACAGATTCTGTTAGAAAATACAAAGTGCCTGGAATGCTGTAGTTTTCCAAAGACCTATTAAGCTTTATACTTAGCCTATTTCTCTTTCTTTCAGTCGATTCCCTGGATCCTGAAAAGCTATTACAATGTCCCTATGACAAAAACCACCAGATCAGGGCCTGCAGGTTTCCTTATCATCTTATCAAGTGCAAAAAGGTAGGCTATTATTTTCATAATGTTCCTTGTAATGCCCTCTTCAGTTCTTTAAAAACCCATATTGTGTAAATATCAAGAAATTTTAGCATAAATGTTTCAGTTGAATGCCAGAATTGTTTGGGGAGTCTACCTTTATATTAAATACCAACATTTTTAGAAAGAAGTTTGTTTACTTCTTGGGTACATAAGCTTTTTCCTGTTTTGATTTCCGCCCCTACACCCCAACTAAGGACAAGCACCCATTTATAAACAGTTCCTCTGGAGTCTTTTCATCCTTTGTAAAACAGAGGAAACACGAATTTTTGCTAGCAGTAAGAAAAATCCCTCTTGCCTTGTGCATTTGATGTGTTCATTGTCCTGATAAGGGTTGAATCTATAATACCTTGTTTTTTGATATTTTTTGTTATAAATTTTAGAGAAGTTGAACAGATAGAGGTTAGCCCAAGAAAAGATTATTTCTAAAACTAACTGTTTTTCCAAATTTCAACAGTAAGCATCTTTGAGGGGGGGAAAAAAAACAACTCAGAGTTTCTTTCCTGGTCATTCTCTTGTAGACTTAGCTGATGTACACTGCTTTAATGCTGGTATATTAACTGAAACCCTTTGAAAAGATTATTAGAATGCAGGTATCAGATACAGAGGCCAAAGTTCTGCCAGAATTTATGCTTGGAAAACAATTTTGGTATTTAATCCAAACTGCATACAATTTATGTATGCCATTTTATAAGTGTCAATTTATAAATGCCATTTATTATTATTTCTCCACCTCTTTTTAATCTTTTGAGCAAAGCTCCCTTAAGGGTGAACCTGAGCAATACGATTAGAAGATAGCGCCACAGCTTCCTTCCCTAGGCCCTCAAACATGACCAGGATGAAGGTCGGGAAAGGGAGCCAAGCAATATGAAGATATTGTCATAACTCCCCTCTTCTAATGCTCTTCATCTTTGGCCACAAAAACTTTGCATTGGGATGCCTGATACCTCTTATGAAATCATGGAGATAAATGCCCTCACAATTTTCTCCATCCTTTATTTTTTTCCAGTCTTCTTCCCATTTCACATTATCTTTACTTTTTTTAGTATCATTTTTGATATATCTTTTGCTTCTCCTAGTAAATAAATGTATTAATTTCTGGTATATTTACCATAAGATTTGAGTGACAGTAAACACTTTGTTTTGTTTTAAAATAGGGAACTTGGTCAGCAGAGTAGACTCTATCATTTGGGCTTTTCCTTAGTGAAATGACAGAAATAAAGGTCAAATTGTTCAGAGCCGCATTTCAGGCATCATTACTTTAAATAAACATTCTGTGTTAATCTGAAAAATCATTGGTTTGCTTCTTCTGCAGCTCCCTTCTAACAGTTATTTTCCAGCTCTATTGTACTGCAATAACAACAGCACTGCTGCAGTGCAGACTTAGTGTTACTGTTCATCCTGAATATCAGCTTTCAAAGTCATCCAGAGAGCTCTGCCATTACATGCTGTGCTACCTGAATCTCGTGACCCTGAAGAACAGGGGAAGATGTGGTTCAAATACTCAATTCTAAATTTGCTGTTTACCTCCATATAAGCCAGTTTAACACCAATATCTGGGTTGTTAGTCTCTACAATCATAACAGAGAGGCTAACATTTTGAAGATTTTGAAGTACCATATGGTCTGTTATGAGTGATAAATAATTTCTTCTTAGTTTTCTACTATGAGTTCACCTATTGTAACTAAGCCACAAATTTATTGAGAGATTTAAGGGAAGCCATTTATAGATAAAGTTGAAAGGAGATAAACTCCTCTTGGACTTTTAAGAGGTCCACAAAATTGACAGAACCCTTAATTTTTATTCCACAGAATCATCCTGATGTCGCAAACAAATTGGCTACTTGTCCCTTCAATGCTCGCCATCAAGTTCCTCGGACTGAAATCAGTCATCATATCTCAAGCTGTGATGACAAAAGTTGTATAGAGCAAGATGTTGGTAAGACTGACTAGTTAAAATGTTACAGGACTAGAACCCATTTAAATTTGTATAATGCTACACTATCACCTTGATTTTTGCCTTTCACCATTCAAGAACAATGCTTTCAGCAGGAAAAGTTTGTCAGGTTGTTTTTCAGAATGCTTTCTAAACAATCTGATTCATTTTACTAGTAATTCATCTAACTGTAAAAGTCCTTTTATCCTAGTAAACATCTTTGTTTACTAGGATAGCAGAAACATCTTTGTTTCTGCTTCTCTTTCATGTATGTCAGCAAGGACATGAGACCACTCTATTTATCTTCCATACCATTCAGGAACAAAGACCCATTAGACTACCCTGCAATCTTTTTAGCACTGACCCGTTTAAACATAACTTAGCAATGTCCTGTTCTCATGTCAGAATCTCTATTGTCTTGCAGTCAACCAAACCAGAAACCTTGGACAAGAGACTCTGGCTCAGAGCACCTGGCAGTGCCCTCCTTGTGATGAAGATTGGGATAAAGGTAAGTGCTTCTGCGTCTTTTTCTTTACAATATCTAAATCTCAAAGCATTTTCTTTAGAGAGAAGAAAGATTTTTCTTTTTATAAACATACCATGTTATTTGGAATGCTTTTTTATATTTATTGGGCCCCCAAATAAGCACATTTGTATTGCTGTGCAGACACTTGGAACAGCCTATGCCTCTTGATTGGAAAAGGCACTTCTTTTACATCTGTTTTTTTCCATAAATTGTGTTATACCATCTGTATTTGGCTGTTACTAGGCCGTTTATTATTATTTATGTCATTTGTGTTTATATCCTTCAATGAAATTCCTGCTACTGTGTCACTTATGCAGGGTACTTGATCGATTTTTACTTCCTTCTCTAAACTTAGATGTATTATTTCCATCTTACAAATTCAGCTTGCATGTGCTGGTGTCTTGTAACACAAACTGCTTTGCTTCCTTTGGCAGATTTGTGGGAACAGACCAGCACCCCATTTGTTTGGGGCACAGCCAACTACTGTGGCAAGAACAGGTAAATGAAATGGTCTCAATCCCAGCACTGCCTCCCAAAATCAGAGTGCTTTGTTAAAAAGGGGGGAAAAAGCCACCAAAGCATGAATTGACCTCTTTCTTTGATGATGTTACACAATAGTGACAGTCTAGATACCTTTTTGGTGGATTTTCTTATTTCTCCCTTGATTCATAAAAAGGTCACATGCTTTATGTTAATCACTGTGGGAACAAAAAAATACTAGCATATAGTCTAGCAAAGGAGACAGTGGTGCTGACATTCTCGTGTCTTAGTTGGGTTTTTTGCTAGGTTCATATTATTTTAATGCTTTCAAAAATTCTCTAGCTATATACATGTGGAACATTTTTACTCTTGGTAACTAGTGTCTAAAGAAAAAGTAATCTTAAAAGTTTTTTATTTGAGCCTTGGCTGGTGTGGCTCAGGGGGCTGGGGATCAGCCTTTGAGCCAAAAGATCATTGGTTCAGTTCCAGTCAGGGTACACATGCCTGGGTTGTGGGCCAGATCCCCAGCTGGGCACATGCAAAAGTCCACCAACCAGGGTTTCTCTCACACATTGATGTTTCTCCTCTTCTTTCTCCCTCCCTCCCACCCTACTCTCTGAAAATAAATACTTTTAACAAAAGTTTTCTGTTTGAAATTGGGGAATCCAGAATACCTATTGGGTAGGGAAGAAAATTCCCACTAATTTTGTATATAATTTTTAAAACTATATGATTTTTCATTATTATTTGATCTCCATACCTTAAAAGATCACATTTAAAATCCAAATGAGTATATTTCTGGATTAGAAATTAAAGAAGAGGGTACTGGATGAAAGAAGGTAAAGGGATTAGTCAAAGAACACATATGCAAAACCCATAGACACAACAGGGTGATTATGGCCACAGGGAAAAGTGGATTGGGGGCTGGGGTGAGGCAAGAAAAGGGATCAGGGAATAGGGATATCTGTAATAGTGTCAACAATAAAATTTTTAGAAACAAAGAAAATGAAGGAATGTAATGCAAGACTTCATTTTTTTTTTAATAAAATACCAATCTTCATTTCTTAGCTCCTAAGGTCAGTTAGTAATTGTAAGTGTACCTTATTTTGTGTGTGTATTAAGACAGAAAAAAGGTGAATTTCTACAATTTTAATTTTACCTCAGTTCTGTGAGATTTGTTGCCTTTGGTTTGATAGTCTTCAAATTTGATTTTATCTCTGATGTTTATTGAGTTGATGAGCCTGTCATACAACTGAACAGTAGATGCCATTGCTGTTTATCTGAATTTCTGGAAAATGAAAATGCTTAGGCCCATTTTAATGCCTGTACAGAAGAGTGAGCTTTCCAGAGAAATAGTAATCATTCTAATTGCAAGAATGTTATGATGGAAATGTGTGTACATTTCACAATGTAGGTTGTTGTTTTCCCCCATATTACAAAAAACACATTTTCATTATCTTGTGTGTGCCTGCCTGAAGAATACAGATATGCTGGTATGGTCAAATTTATCTTTCTTTCCGCAGCCCTGCAAGTAACCTAGTTATGGAACATAAGAGTAACCTAGCTTCAGGCATGCGCGTTCCCAAGTCTCTGCCGTATGTTCTGCCATGGAAAAACAGTAAGTGAAATGAGACAAAATGCTTTTGTTCTTTTCTTTCTGCTAATGAATATGGTTAGCCTTGATATTCAAAGACATATTTAGTCTGCACACCTTGCCCCCGCATAAGCCTGAGAGTAAGTACCTCCTTAAATGTTGTACCCTAAGCACCTCACTCACTTCACCCTAGTGCTGACCCTTGTTAGTAACAGGAAATTATGAACAGGAAAGTACAAGGTCACAGAAACCAAAGGAATATTTTCAAGATGGGGTGACCACAGATGTCAAATATCATGAGTAAATTTGGGAGCCAATGAAAAGACTACTGATTTTGGCAAGTAGGAAGTTATCCCTGACTTGCAAGGCATAATATCAGTAGGGATTGGGATTAGAAATTGGATGTCAGGGGCCTAAAAGGAAATGTATAGAGAGAACATGAAAGTTATGAGTCATAAGAACCAGCATAAAAAGAGTATTTAAATTGTCTTCAGAGACCATGCTGAGCAAACAGATACTAAATTTGTATCATACCACCCTGGTAAAGAAATTACCACATATGGAACACTCAAGATACTGTCATTTAATATAAACTTTGTTTTTCTAAATTTGCCCCTGAATTCAGATTTCCTTGGGTTTGGTCTTTGCTACTGTTTGCGTTAATTTTCCGTGGCTAGAGGATTTCCTTTTAAAAAGTTTCCCTGTGGAGATTTGCCAAAAAAATGAGATCACCAAATCATATGCCAAAGGGCTTGATAGGTAAAGGACTATTTTCTTTTCTCATGTTGTTGAGTGAAATCCAATCACTAAGTTTAAGTTCTTCTACTTTTATATTGCATTTCAGTATACTCCATAATAAGTCATTTGTGTTTAGTAAGAATAGAAGATGGATTGAATTTCAGTTGATGTGGTATATTTATTTTGAAATATTTCTACTCTGTAGATGGAAATGCACAGTAACTGAGTATCTCATCAAGTAAGTGTTTTTTTTTATTTCACTATCTCTTCAGATGGTAGCAATATTTAACTGGACATAAAACAATTTGGGTCCAATTTTTTTTCAGATTATGGTACCAAATTAAAGCTTTGTGTGTGCCTATGCTTTTAAAGTATATTATATAGCTTCTGTTATGCCTTTACATACTAATGAATAGGCATTTACTGGTTAAATTAGAATTCAGTTAACATGCCAAGTTGCTTTCCCTAGAATTAGTACACAATGCCTTTTGCCTTTTTCTTTTTCTTTTTTTTTTATTAAAGTTGCATTTTTAGGTCTGTCGTGCCTCTTTAATGGACTAAGATTAATCAAACAGCTGTGCTTCACTGCTCTGCAATTCTTTCCCTGTGCAGTACAATCTAACACATCAAAAAATTCATACTCTTCTTAATGAGCACTTAAAAGTTTTTTTTATATAATAAATTTTATTTAGTTACTTTTCAAGTACATTTTTTTATTTATTTCTCCCATCCCACCCCCGCCCTGTCTCCCCCCTCCCTCCAATTTCCCCTCCCCCAGTCCTCATCCCTGTGTCTTTCATACTTGTTCCTCAAAATCCCTCCCCCTTTGCACTTAAAAGTTTTGGGTCTCAAGAGTCTTACACTATTGATCTTATCTGAATATTTGATTTAATAGAACCTCACAAAATTTGTATAAGGAGAGCAAAATTTCTTACTTTTCACAGATGAAGCCTTTCCTTAAGGTTACCCTGTGTACCCATAGCAGAGACAGTTTGAAACTTCAAATGCTGTCTTGACTGAGGCTGCCAGCCACATTGCTCCTGACAAAAGGAATATTATAAAGGCTAGAAATGAGATTATATTCCCCACCCATCTTTTTAAATTTTTTTATTGATCTTTAGAGCAAAAGAGAGAAACATCAAATTGTTGTTCCACTTACTTACACATTCATTGGTTGATTGTTTATGTGCCCTGACTGGGGATCAATCCCTCAACATTGGCATATCCAGAGGACACTCTGACCAACTGAGCTGCCTGGCCAGGGCTATCCCCCACTGTCTTATATATAGTAGGCCATCAATGAATGTTTAGTGAATGAATGACTAATTGCCCTATTGCCTTCCAGTTCATTCAGTTCCTCTGGACAGTGAATTAGATGGGTCTTCTGTGAGTTAGGGTTCATTTTGTACCAAAATTGATGTTTCTTCTGGTGAGAAGTAGAAAAGAGATTGTAAAAGCAAACACCCCTTAGCTATGGAAAATAACTATCAGTTGCTTCCAGGTATTGGCCATTTTCCTTGGTAGCTTCTGACTTGAAATTGTTAAATACATCAGGAAGGCATAAAATTGCATTTGGCCCCAGAAGGGAAAGAGACACAATAGCACTGGGGTGTGTCAGGAAAGCACACACAGATCTGGATAAATCATGAACTTTGAATCTTTCTCTAACACACTGTACAAAATGCTTGGCACTCTTATAACGTGGATAGTTACCTAGTAAAAATGACTACTCTTAAGGTGAAAGCCTAGGAGAAATTTTTATCACTTAAGAAAAGTCATTCCTCTCCTTTGAAACTTAACTCTTTGCTGTTAAACTCCTTAAATGCTGAAAATTTATTGTTCTGTGTAACCCCTGAGGAATAAGTGGGGAAATTATCCTAGGTTAGGTAAGAATCCTTAAACAGCCCTGGCTGGTGTGGCTCAGAATTGAGTGCTGGCCTGCAAACCAAAAATTCACCCATTTGATTCCCAGTCAGAGTACATGCCTCGGTTGTGGACCAGGTCCCCAGTTGGGGATGTTTTCCCTCTATTTATTTATTTATTTATTTATTTATTTATTTATTTATTTATATATTTATTTATTTATTTATTTATTTATTTATTTATTTTTCAAGAGAGGGGAAGGGAAGGAGAAAGAGTAGGAGAGAAATATCAGTGTATGGTTGCCTCTCATGCGTCCCCTGCTGGGAACTGGCCTGCAACCCAGGCATGTGCCCTGACTGGGAATCGAACCACGATCCTCTGGTTTGCAGGCCCGAGCTCAATCCACTGAGCTACACCAGCCAGGGCTAAATAAAATTTTTTTTAAAAAAAGGATCTTTAAACAGCCACAGGCCTTCTTATCTTCTTAATAAAAATAAACTATCATTTTTTGAATGCCTGTTGTTGCAGAATTCCCTAGCTTCTTTGGAAAGATGCAAAAGAAGTACAAGACAGGACTTACTCCCCCAATGATCTTAATTATGGGTGGAGAAAGAGTTTTTTGAATGCACATACATGAAAAGGGTTTGTTCACCTTGTACTCAGTCTGCTTTATCCCAGTTGTATTTTTATTAACTCCACTTTTTACTAGTTAAGTACCTCCAAAGCAGGTAATATTAATTTTTGTTCTAATGTATATTGTAACAGCTCAAAAACTATTGTTAAGTTAGTGAATAATAGCGTGAATGAAAAGAAAAAATTAATATAATTTAATTGAAATTAGTCCAGAATTATCTGTAGGAGTCAGTTGCTTGCATAGTGAATTCTGATTTTCTCCTCACTTATGAAACTGTTGACACCAGTGTACATTGATCTCTGCAAAGAATGCTTTTAATTCAGTTAAGAAGTTTCTGTGTGCTTAGTGGTACTAAAGAGCTCAGGATCAGAACGTACTCAGTGTTCTGCCATTAACAACAGCAGATTCTTCCAGCAACCAAGAGATTTCAGTTGGGTTGTAGTTGTATGGCCCATTATCATATGTAGTTGGTGCCTTTGACTTAAAAGGAACTAAAAATTCTTTTTTTTTCTCATTTCCTTACAGGTGCCTGAACTCAGAAGACTCTTGCTTCTTCCTGCTACCAGTGGGTTCTTCATTTTTCTCCTAGTCTAATTATAGAAAAATAAAGGTCTGTGACTTTCAAACTGACAAGTGCCTTTTTCCCCTCCCCCCTTTTGAGTCTTCACTCATCTGATGCAAGAAAGAATCATCATACTTAGAAAAACTGTCTCAAATAATTTATTGATGTAGATAGCTTGATAGTTTGGTTAAGTACCTGTGGCCCCAAGATCAGAAATCATATCCCATTCCATATTAATGAAACACATTTAAAGTAATCTTTAAAAATCTAGCAAAAGCAGGCAAGAAACTTGGGTTGGGAAAAGTAACTATATTTGTGTTTTCTGACGCACATGGACCAATTCTTTTTAGCATTAGTAGGAATGGGCCAGTTTGATTAGTGCATCTGTATATCCAGAATCTCCAAGAGATTGATAACATTTACAGAGCAAAATATCCTATTCTTATTTAGAATCTTTAGGATAGCTTGCTGCCTAAATATTTCCAACCTAGGGTAGGTTTCTTTTATTTCCATTATTTCTCCCACACTACAGCTAGAAATTTTACTAGCTGTTAACCTAGGTGTGGATTATGTAGAAGGGAATTTTGGCATGGAGAAGAGGAACTATGTGTACATGTGGCAAAGAGATAGGCTTCCCAACCTGTGTGTAAACCTGGAGCTTCAAAGCCTAAATGTGTAAGGGCCCTGTTGACTACCCTGGGATATATGTATAATAAGTTAGATTTTGACCTGACTGGTATAGCTCAGTGGATTGAGCATGGGCTGCAAACCAAAGGGTCACCAGTTCTATTCCCAGTCAGTGCACATGTATGGGTTGCAGTCCAGGTTCCCAGTAGGAGGCATGTGAGAGGCAGCCACACATTGATACTTATCTCCCTCTCGTTCTCCTTCCCTTTTCTAGTCTCTAAAGATAAAAAACCTATATTAAAAAGCTAGATTTTGAAACATTCAAAACTCTGGCTGTCCTAGCATCTTGGTTATCCTTACAAGGAGACTTCATAATCTCCCCAGAGATTGTTTGGATTGTTTTTGTGTAGTGGTTTGCAAGTTTGGTTTGGTTTTAAAACTGGCTGGCTTGGAGAGGGATTTGTGATCTGGTATAGATGGGCACTTCAGTGAATCATACAAATAATTCCAAAAATGATTTCTCTAACAGGGTAACAGATAAGGGAGAGTAGACTCTTGTGGAATGCCTCCTTCCATGAGTTTTACACAAAACAGGATTCTTCCCTGAAGTAAATCTGTTTATTTAGTTCCAAACTCTAAAAACGGGTTCAAGATAAGCCCCAGTACAATAGTATTTCTGCCTAGCTGTGTGATCTTAAGTGAATAACTAGGCCATTTCTTCTGGAGAGGGTGGTGAATATACTGAGGAGGGGGAAAAAAACACCTTTTATGCCCCTAATTCTGGTCATTTATGTTTGTATATCAATCAACACCTCACAAACACTTAATTTAAAAATAGTCTTACTACTGGAAAATACAAAACCCTTTTGATTTCATTTGGGTGATGACAGAACAAAACTATCATCTGCTCCACTTGTAACCCAGAACTCCTACCTAGTTTAGGAAAAACAAGCAGGAGGGTGAGACTCATTGCAAAGAATTAGCTGCTTGAATACAGCTCAGCAAATGAATTAAAATAGTTACTTTGTGTTTTTTTTAATAAGAGGGGAGATAGGCTAACATCTATCATTTATGAAAAACAAGTGAAAGCCCTGATTTTGTTATTTTAGGAGGACACCTCTTTGCTCGTGCCTACTAGAACTCAATCACAATATATCTGACCTTTTGGAATATAACACATAGGATAATGGCTGCCTATATTAGCTCAGAAAGTAGACAATCCTGTTGTTTCTTTGGTAAACTAATGATTAAAGCAACCAATTTGCCTGATCCAGGAGCTTTCAGAGACTGGGACTTTTATTGGGCCTACGATTCACTAGTCTGGACTTTGTTTGCTGGAGATTTTTAGAGATTCCCAAAAATTGAAGCTAAGAAGTAACTATTTAACTCTACTACTTCTGTCAGAGGTTGGGAGAAATTTACTTATTTTTGAGACCATCTTTTTCAGATGATAGCCTCCCTTTGGAATGTGAGCAGTGAAAGGTAAGGAATTGAATATTTTACTGTAATTTTAGTTACAGTCAGATGTTATAGTTCAAGGTTCAGTGCAGAGGTGTGTCAAAACCTTAACCCAGATCCTCTGAGTCCTACATTTTGATCTTATGCAGAACTCCCAGACTCTACCCCAAAGAGAGGATTTGCTTTTTTGTAAGATTGCCTGTCTCTAGAGGGGTTCTAGAAGTGCCATTGTGATTTGCAAATGTTATTACCAGGAATAAACAAATGCAGGTAATAAAGGATGTTTAACTCTCCTGGTAGATCTACCTGAACTAGACAAGGAAAGTATTTAGATTTAATCTCAAATAATGCACCACACTACCCTTTCATTGGTGAGGCAGAACAGTAGCTGCTTGTGTTAGTCCCTTAGACAAAATGTATATACCTATACTGGTATCCTTAAAGTCCTTCACTTGTACTTCTCACAATGCATATTAAGCTCAAAAGTAAACAAAAACCAAGGAGATAATGTTACGCTTATTATTACCACTTTTAAAGATGCAACTTGTAAAAATCAAGCTGATTTGTATACTATATTTTAAATTATCAAAGCAAGACTAGCCTTGCAAAGACGAGACCTTTTGGAAAACATCAGTTTCTTGTATCAATACAATGGGTAGAATAAAGAAATACCATTATAAAAACACTGTAGTGATGAATCATTCTTTTTTATCACTTGTCTTCTTGGTACTGTTAAGCTTTGGAACATATTCATATCCTACTTTACAGTCATCCTTTTCAGAGGGCCCTGAAGACATTAACCTGTTAACCTCATACCAACAATATCAGCTGACTTTATTCCAGCATACCAGTCTGAAGAATGCAAACCTGTATATGAACAGGGTATTGGACCTTTATGCAGCTATTCTACTCCTTAGTCCAACTCACTTAGATTTTATAAACTTGATAACCGGTGACAAATATAAAATCTAAGATTGTGTATAACTAGGAAGAACAGCATCTTAAGCCAACAGTAACCCTAGAGAACAACCATATGGTCAACAGACTTGCATTTATATTTACTTTAACTAAAGACTGTTTTATATGAAACTAAAATAGTGTAAGAACCTCTGAGGAAATGTGAAGAAGTTGTTTTGTTTTATATTATATATATATATGTAAATACATATAATAGAGGAAATAAGTCTAGGTTGTATGAAAAGCTGCATATGAATCCAACCATGCCTCTTAATCTTTATTAAAATACCTGACTGAAATAAAGTATGCTTTTCCGGTTCATCTGTTTTGGTTTTATTTCCTCAGGCTTTAGTTTCAGGTTTTCATTGGACAGGATCAAGATTATTTAGTTCCTCATGTTGGTTTTCTATGGAGTAGAACTTTATAGCAGAGTTGCAGTTGAAAGAGATAGTCTTTTTTTTAAGATTTTATTATTTTTTAAGAAGGGAAGAGAGGGGAAATAGAGGGAAAGAAACATCAATCTGTTACTTCTCACACACCTGAAACCCAGGCATGTGTCCTGACTAAGAATTGAACTGGTGACCTTTTGGTTTACATACTGGTGCTCAACCCACTGAGCCACACCAGCCAGGGCTGAAAGTGATGGAAAGTCTTGATCTTGAGATTAGAAGCTCCACTGAGATATCTTTTTGTTGAATTGGAGATTTCAACAGAAGAGTCCATGTCTTCTTAACTTTACAAAATCCTTGAAAAATAAGCATTGATACAGTTCTACTAGGTATGTGTCTTTTATATCTTAAAGCTGAAAGGAAGCTTAGAGAGCACCTAATCTAAAATTTCATCTTCCATATGAAGAATCAGGCCCTGTACAAATATGCAGCATAGCCATTTAAGAAAAAAGGGAATGGAAATTATAAACACAAAGTTCAAGATAGTGGTTATCTCTAGAGGAGAAGCTGGGAGGATGGGAATCAGGAAAAAATACAGTATATTACTAGTATTCTGTTTAATAAGTTGGGTGGTAGGTTTCCCAGTGTTTATCTTATGTTTCATACATATATTAAATGCTATATGGTTTTAAAACATTTAAGAACAATTGCTAAAATCATTGTACAGTGTTCTTGGTTAGCATTTTACATATTTTAACCCATAGGGTTAGGGGGAAACAGGCCCTGAAAATTTTATCTTTGCCAAGGATACACAGCTTGTTAGTAATGAGCTATGACCATAATGTGGGACTTCTGGTTTCTAATTTACTGCCTTTGTTTTTATAACCATCCTGCTTCTATGACCAAATGCAAAACCAACTTCCCTAAAAGTTGGTTTTGCATTTAACCTCTCATTCTTTCAGGCTATGAGTTTCTTTCTGAATTCATTTCCATGTCTACCAGCTTGGACTCCATGGTCAATCACTTTACTAACCTAATTATCACCCTAAGTTCCCTTGACCCCATTGTTGTCTTCCTCTACTTCAAAAATTCCCAAGTCAAATGAAACGCACCACCTTTTTTACTCTGTTTCTTTAGGTGCATAGTGATAGGAAATCACATAAATATGCCAACTGACTGCTGGGAATGTATGATTTCTTAACTCAGGCACTCATTCCTATTTGACTGTTTCAGATTTACCTGGTTACCATTGTACCCTTTTTATTGTTCTCAACTTTGTAGTCCATACTTCCCACCTCCACTTGCAGCTGATGGCTTTGTCTGTTATAGTCTAGAGAAAATACTGGTCTTCAAACTTCCTCTTTTTTCCATTTCTAGACTTAACTCTTACAGCATCTATTTTTTCTCTATCTCAGGAATATATTTCTTCTCCAAGGCTAACTCTTCCTTCTACCTGTACTATATTCTAGTGTATCAGCTATCTGTTACCCAAAACAAACATTTCCCCAAACCATAGTGGACTAAAACAATAATAAATGCTTATTACCCTTGTAGTTTCTATGAGTAAGGAATTTAGGATCAGTTTGCCTGGGTAATCCTGGCTTGGGCCTTTCATGT